TCTCCTTCTCCTCCTTCACTTTCTCATCTCTCCTCCCCTCCTCCTTCTCCTCATCTGCCTCCTCCTCATCTATCTCTTTTCATCTATCTCCTTCTCCTTCTCCTCTTTCTCATTCTATTTCTCCTCCTCCATCTTCATCTATCTTCTTCACCTTCTCTTTCTCCTCCTTTCTCATCTGTATTCTTCTCCTCCTTCCCCTTTTCACCTACCTACTTTTCATCTATCTCCTCCTCCTCCTCTATCTCTTTTCATCTATCTTCTTCTCCTTCTCCTCTTTCTCATTCTATTTCTCCTCCTCCGCCACTTCCTCCTCCTCCATCTTCTTGTCATCTATCTTCTTCACCTTCTCTTCCTCCTTTCTCATCTGTATTCTCCTCCTTCCTCTTTTCACCTATCTACTTTTCATCTATCACCGTCTCCTCCGCCTCCTTTTCATCTATCTTCTCCTTAACCTTGTCCTCCTCTTTCTCCTTCCCCTCTTCTTCCTCTTCCTCTCCTCCTCAACTTGATTCCTCTTTTGACCTTTCCTGAGCAGATTGCTGCCCCCACCCTGCTGCTGTACGTGGACGCTGGGAAGGACACCATGGTGAAACGGCTGCTGAAACGGGGAGAAACCAGCGGGCGCGTGGATGACAACGAGGAGACCATCAAGAAGCGTTTGGACACCTATTACAAGGCCACCGAGCCGGTCATCGCCTATTACGAGAAGAAGGGAATTGTACGCAAGGTGAGTCAGGATGATGGATTGAAATCTCTCATACAAATTTACCCTTTGTTTGAAATTGGTAATGCCGTTTTGGGGAGATGTATTTGAGACCAGAGAGAGTCATTTCAGCCACATGATATTGGCTGAGCCATTTGCCCCTTCCTTCCTTCCTTCCTTCCTTCCTTCCTTCCTTCCTTCCTTCCTTCCGCCCTCCCTCCCTTCTACCTTCTCCTTCCTTCCATCTTCCCTTTTCCTTCCTTCCTTTCCTTTCTTCTACCTTCTCCTTCCTCCCTTCCACCCTTCTTCCTTCCTTCCTTCCTTCCTTCCTTCCTTCCTTCCTTCCTTCCTTCCTTCCTTCCTTTCTTCCTTCCTTCCCCTTTACACTTAAACTGTGGCCCAGTGCTCTTCAACATCTTCATCAACGATTTGGACGAGGGGATAGATGGGGAACTCATCAAATTTGCAGATGACATCAAGCTGGCAGGAATAGCCAACACTCCAGAAGACAGGCTTAAGATAGAGAGGGATCTTGACAGACTTAAGCATTGGGTGCTATCTAACAAAATGAAATTCAATGGTGAAAAAAGCAAGGTTCTACATTTAGGCAAGAAAAATGCACAGGTGTAGTATAGGTGGTACCTTGCTGAATAATTGTAACTGTGAGAGG